CTTCAAGAAGGTAGCCGATGAGAATATCACAAAGCCGAGATCAGGGTACACCATAGAAAATCAAGTACTCAAGTTTGAAGGAAGATTGTGTGTGGCCGACATCCCAGAGTTGAAAAGGAAAATTTTGCAGGAGGCTCATGGTTCCAAGTTTGCTGTTCACTCAGGGAACACCAAGATGTATCAGGATGTGAAGCAGACGTTTTGGTGGCCGAATATGAAGGGAGAAATAGCCGAGTTCGTATCCTAGTGTCTGTATTGTCAACAAGTAAAAGCAGAACATTAAAAGCCAGCAGGACTTCTTCAACCTTTACCAATTCCTGAGTGGAAATGGGAGCACATCTCCATGGACTTTGTGGTTGGTTTGCCGAAGACACAAAAGGGTATGGATTCGATTTGGGTTATTGTGGATAGACTAACTAAGTCAGCACACTTCTTGCCCGTTAAGACCACTTTCAACGCCGATAAACTTGCCTTGTTGGAGTGCCGATGTTAGACTTCATGGAGTGCCGATGTCAATTGTGTCAGACCGAGATCCAAAGCTGGTTTCCAGATTTTGGCAGAGCCTACAAAGTGCTTTCGGGGCCGAGTTGAGGTTTAGCACAGCTTTTTATCCCCAGACTGATGGGCAAACAGAGAGGACGATTCAGACACTTGAAGATATGCTTAAACTATGTGTATTGGACCTCCAGGGAAGCTGGGGAGTACATTTGCCATTGGTGGAATTTACCTACAACAACAGTTATCAAGCTAGCATTGGCATGGCGCCGTATGAAGCGTTGTATGGAAGGAAGTGCAGGTCGCCGATATGTTGGACCGAGGTAGGAGACAAAGCTCTGCTTGGTCCTGAGTTAATTCAAATAACAACCGAGAAGATTAAGCTCGTTCAGCAAAGAATCAAAACCGCACAGAGTCGACAGAAGAGTTATGCCGACCAGAGAAGAAGAGAGTTGGAATTTGAAGTCGAGGACCATGTATTCCTAAAAGATTTCGCCGATGAAAGGAGTTACAAGATTTGGGAAGAAGGGTAAGTTAGTGCCCCGTTACATCGGGCCTTTTGAAGTTCTTGAGAAGGTTAACTTCGTTGCCTACAGGCTTGCTTTGCCGCCAGGATTGAGCCAAGTCCATAATGTGTTTCATGTTTCGATGTTGAGGAAGTATATTCGAGATCCACTACATGTGATTGACTATTTTGGAATTGTAATCAATGAAGATTTAGGCTACGAAGAGAAGCCGATACGGATTGTTGATAGGCAGGTGAAACAGTTGAGAAGTAAGTCGATACCAATGGTGAAAGTTGAATGGAAGGAGCATTATGGTGAGGATACTACATGGGAAATGGAAGAGGAAATGAAAGTCCGACATCCAGATTTGTTTTTGGAATAAGGTAACTCAAGTTTAGGGACCAAACTTCTTTAAGGGGGGTAGGATGTAACAACCCTCACTCCAACTTAGTCATACTTGCATACATTTATGTATGATCTTATTTTGTTATGTGCATTTGCAAATCTTGTCTTGATTTACTTGAGTGTTCATGCATACTTTGTTCTTGCCTGGTGTGTTGCCGAGGTCATCTCTAGCCTAGACACCTTGGAACCTTTCCACACTTAGAACTATCTTGGGATCACTTTGATTGACCTCCATCTTCGCCCTAGCGTGTTGACCGAGATGTCACTATCTAGGCCGAGGTGTACAGCACCAAGGCCGAGGTGTGTATTATTTAGGCCGAGATGTTGTCCTTGCACTTAAGTGATTTTGTTCCTGGATTGGCATGACCTAGACCGAGGTGTGGCACATCTAGGCCAAGGTGTGGCACAGCTTAGTCAAGTGTTGTCCTTCCAAGCCAATGTCATTGTTACCCTGCTTGCCGAAGCTTTGCCCTTAGCCGAGATCATCACTTGCCGAAGTGCTCTTGCCATCTAGCTTGTTGAACACACTTTGTCATGGTCTTGTCTTGTCAGTCAGTCACTTTTTTGAATAGAGCCAATCAGCCGATGCCACGTGTCCCAACAGAGGGTTAAGTCAATGACTGTCGAGAAAACATATCATTTTGTATCAAATCTAGTCATTTAGAGAGAGAGGCTCTGGGAAGGAGAAGGAGAAGTTTTGAGTGAGAGAGAGAACTTCCAAGCTTGATCGTTGGAGCTTGAACCGTTAGATTCGAGTTTTGAGGTTAGAATCTTAACCTATTCTTGTTGTTCTTATTGATCATCTAGCCGCATTGCACGATCGAACTTGTTCTGCACGTCATGCATTGATTTAAAGTTGGTTTTAGAAAGAGAAGATGGTTTTCATGTGTTCTTGAAGAAAAGTCCCGTTTGATCCGAAAGTTTGCATCTAGAACCATGTTTTTGTGTTCGTTCTCTCAAGATCTTTGAATATGGGTACCCAGGTCCATGAATTTGGATTCTTAGCATGAAATCTCAGATTTTGTAATAGCAAGTTTTAATCTTTGCATTCATCTTCCTCATGTTCATGTTCTTCATGTTCGTCATACTCTTCAAGAGAGGGAAACCCAGATTTTCCCGACTTCATTTCCTTGACTGTGGCCATCGAGGCCTGTAGACACCCCATTTTTGACCGGGAGGTGTGGGACCTTGGCCTAAACCTGGTAAGTTGCCCAGCATGTTTTCCAGAGATAAGAAACTGTGTTTTGTTTCGATTTGACTTAGTTTTTGGTAGAGTGCCGAGGTCATTTACATGCATGCCAGACTTGTTTTGAGAAGCGCATTCAATAGATTTTGCTGTGTGTTTGTAGGACTTGGACTTGCCTTGACCCCGACGTTTGAAGAACTATGTGAGTGGTATTTTTAATAAAGCTATGCTATCAATGTTTTGATGAACTTCGTTTTACTTTGTTTTGAAAAGTATTTGTTAAGCATGAATGATTGTTCCTATTTTGTATATCAAGAATTATTTTGTTTTGATGATCTCCTCGGAAAGTCCCTTGTGCTGGAGGACTCTAAACTTTCGCAGCACATCTTGTTTTGAAAGTCCCTTGTGCTGGAGGACTCTAAACTTTCGCAGCACATCTTGTTTTGAAAGTCCCTTGTGCTGGAGGACTCTAAACTTTCGCAGACATGAAGATTTCCAAGACTAACAGCTTAGTCAAGTGTTGTCCTTCCAAGCCGATGTCATTGTTACCCTGCTTGCCGAAGCTTTGCCCTTAGCCGAGATCATCACTTGCCGAAGTGCTCTTGCCATCTAGCTTGTTGAACACACTTTGTCATGGTCTTGTCTTGTCAGTCAGTCACTTTTTTGAATAGAGCCAATCAGCCGATGCCACGTGTCCCAGCAGATGGTTAAGTCAATGACTGTCGAGAAAAACATATCATTTTGTATCAAATCTTGTGTTTTAGAGAGAGAGGCTCTAGGAAGGAGAAGGAGAAGTTTTGAGTGAGAGAGAGAACTTCCAAGCTTGATCGTTGGAGCTTGAACCGTTAGATTCGAGTTTTGAGGTTAAAATCTTAACCTATTCTTGTTGTTCTTATTGATCATCTAGCCGCATTGCACGATCGAACTTGTTCTGCACGTCATGCATTGATTTAAAGTTGGTTTTAGACAATAGTTTTGTGGAGTTGTATCCAAAAATAGTAGAAACTCTGCTCTGTAAAAGTTCCAAACATCAAAAAAGATTTGTGCTTTATTACAATGTTGCTCAAAAAATGGACAACAAGAGTGATTGGGTTGGGTTTGAGGCTATTTTAGTCACAAAAAAACAAAATAGACTTTTTTAGCCCAATAAGACAAAACATTACATCAAACCCATAATCATTACATTCTTTCTCTTACAAAAAGTCAAAAAATTCAAAAAGCCCTTCCCAATGAGGCTTTTTAGCCCTAGGCTTAAAAAGCCAAAAAGCCAACCCACTTCCCAAACCAACCCAAAAAGAGCCAATGTTCTTTAATTTGAACTTTGCAAAGAATTATTTTTATTTATTGATTGATTTGTTCTTTCATTGGAGCCTTATTATCAAGAAGCTTGTAATTTTCTAACCTGCAATGCCAACATATATATGATATTATACTTATCCGGCAAAGGTATTACAGCCAACCTTGCAGCCAACTGACAAATGATTTCCACAAGCATCAGAAGATGAAGTGCTTGTAGCATATTCTCATTCAAAGTTTTACATGTTCGTGTGGTAGATAATATTTGTTGAGGTGTTTTTTTTGTGAATTTGATTTTTGGTTGTTTGTAGAATTGCAGTGTTCCCCATGGCAATACTGAATTAGTAATTTATGAATATAGAAGTGTTTTGTTAACATTTACGGCATGTTTTTTAAAAATTGGGTATTTGATCTCTTCTCACCTTCTCGTCATTTGAATGTCTCACTCTCAAGCATCTCTCTCTTGCTATGCATTTTGCTCTGATTTGGTATTTTTTTCCATTTGGAATCTCCTTGGTCACAATTTCCACCCTTATGTTCTTCATTTGATTTGCATTTCCTTCAAATTTTGTTGTGTTTTTGCTTTGATTTTGCATTTTCTTCAGACTTTGGTGTGCAGTTCAGAATGGATTTAGTGACATATATAGAATTGATTACAAAGGTGAAGCTAACTCTTTTGGGAGATGGCTAAAAGCCAAAGCCACTTTTAACCTATTTTGGATCACATCATCTCTCTACTTTTTTATACTTTTTTTCAAAAAAAGCGAAAAGTTAATTTTTAACCAAACTTCTCAAAACAACGGATTAGTGAAGATGAGGCTTTGCAAGGAAGACACTCTAATTGTCAATGTGCCAATGGTTAGTTGATAAGTGTAAATGGAACCCTACTTATCTAATCATTTTTGGTTGTTGAGAAAATTGAGTGAAGATAATGGAACAATAGATGAAAGTATAATAATATTGATTAATTTCTCGTTGCTTTGTTAGATTGTTGATGTTTTTTATTTGATTTAAGCGGTTTTCATGGGCTTCAGATTCATTCTTTGTTTATGTTTGCCATTTTGCTCTCTGTTTGTTCACGCTTTTACCTCTCTTATTTTCTTCCATTATAGCACGCAAGATACAACCTGTATCAACACAGAACAGAGGCCATGTAGCATTTTAGCTAGCATACCCAACTCACCAGGCACCACTAGCAGCAACCATCTTATCTCATTCCACCACCTATGCAAATCCTACACTATCTAGGTATGAAA